TTGCCTGTCGCAAGATTTCAAACAGTTTTGCAGTTTTGAACGAGCCTGTGCCTCGAGCACCTTGATACACCCTTTACCAAGGTTTATTATCAAGTTAGTTGAGCCATTATTTTTGAGTTAAAATGGTACCAATGCAACACTAACCTAGAACGACACCGGGCCGGTTTAGAAGATTGCGTAAACTCACTTTCCGAAGCCAAACTTTACAGAACCACTTTGACACAAAAATGCTGCTCCTAGGCCCATTGTTGTTTTTTACAAATTCTACAAAACTTGGTTTAGAAGAGAGAGCCGATGATAACACATAATCCACTCGCGGCAAAACACAGCACGACCGCCTGTGTTCTGCTTTGTTTAGGGACTGCGCCGGACTGCTCGGTCGGCGCGCTCCACTGACCCAGCGCGCTTGCTCACCGCACTCCGCATCGCACCCGCAACAGCACAGCAGGCGGCAGTCCGACCCGACCCAGCGGCGAGACAGACGCACACAGGACAGTTACTCCGGTCGGTCGGTCATTTTTGAGGTAAGTTTGGAGCCGGCCACTCACTGGCACTCCGGGCTTTTGTATACTTCTAGATGACTACACTGCCGTGTTCTTTTTTAAAAAAAGTTCGACGTCTCGTTTGTGATCTATCGCGTGCCAGTGTTGTGTCTGACGCAAGAACTTTTGCTCGCTTGTGACGCGCCTCCGTGGACTAATCGCGTATCAGTAGCCGTGCCGCAGCAGCAGCAAGACGTTTTAAAGAACTCAAATCGACTTCGGCTTTCAACCTGTGCTCTCTGCGAATAGGTCGGGGAGACATGGCGAACGTGACCCAGGCGGAACCCGCTGCTCAGGCGTGCAGTGTCCAGCGTGGATCCACGTCTAGCGGAGCGGACGAACTTGAACAGGTATGTTGTGTGTTACAATGCGAGCTGGAGCTCGAGGCAGTCGGGGAGAGGGGGAGGGGGTGGGGTTTAGTTGGCCTGTGTCCTGGGCTCGTCCTCTCGCGTGGCTGTGTCGTCGGCCGTAGGACCGGACGGGGGGGGGGGGGAGTACGCGTTCAGTTCAGTGTAATCGCAGTAGAGTTTAGGATATTCTGCTTGTAATTGAAAATGGCCATTGGCAAGATGTAAAGAAGTGGCAAAACGGACTGTGTAATGTGTTTCGCCCGAGGTTTCGCCTCTGCTTTGTCACTGGCCTCTTTTCATTTTCGCCCCCTTTCCCCCATACGATTCCACGACAAATGCCCTGTAGGCTGTGTTCCCTGACTTCTGCCTTGTCGCTTGCAGCGCCCAGCCCTAGAGAGACTCCCCGACGACGTGCTGCTGGAAGTGATGCAGCACCTCGGCGCCGAGGACCTGCTCGCGTGCCGCCTCGTCTGCAGGACCCTGTGCCGGCTGGCGCTGCACCGCGACGCGTGGCGGAGCAAGACTCTGGTGTGCGACAGGGACGAACACAGGACCTGCTCTTTGCTCCGCCTGGCGCCGTGCCTGCGCGAGCTTCAACTCTACCTGTCGGCCAGTGAGACCGTGTGTGACCACAGTGTGGCCTGCGCGACCGCGTGTGAAGTTACTCAAGTTACCATGATCCTTGAGAGTGGGTCCGGTTTAGGCTACCAAGCCATCCAACTATTAATTGGACTGGCCACCCCCGGCCGGTTGAAGACCGTAAAGGTTTTGCTCGCCACCGCCCTGGACAGAACGGAAGCGACCATACTGTTTCTGGCAATCCTGCGCACTCCGGGGCTGGAGGAAATAACGATAAAAGGCAGAAACATTCGGCAGCCGATGCTCAAGCCGAGCCCGGTGTACGAAGGCCTGAGCAGCTCACTTAGAACATTCTGCCTGAATGTGGAGGGCGTCGGGGAGTGGGCGCAGTTGGTCTTATCCATGCACGGCGAGACATTGAAGAAGGTTGTGCTCGCCACCGCCCTGGTCGAAACGGAAGCGACCGCGGCGCCGTGCAACTTGACTCTGCAAAGCCTGCGCAGCGTGCAAGAGCTGACCGTACAACTCGACCCGAGGCTCCAGACCCTAGCGGAGCCCACGTCCCTGCAGGTTCTCTACCTCCTGGTGGACGGACGAGAGGCGGAGGAGCACTTCGCGGCCGCCGGAGAACTCTTCCTACGAGCGGCGAATCTGCGGGAGGTGGCGATGCTGGCCCTGCCGGAAAAAAGACTCGACGTACGTGCCGTATTGCCCGGCCACTGCTCGCTGCTGGTTCGAGGGTTAGTCAGGGCCCGGGCGCAGAGTCTTGTGACGAAGCTGTCCCTCGTTCCAAAGATCTCCTGGGAAGACTCAGCAGAGCTCCTGCAGCTCCCGCAGCACCCGTGGCTCCTGGCTCGGACCCTGCGCCAAGTGCGGCCCTGGCTGCCCGCGCTACGGCAGCTCTCCGTCGGCCGCTGGGTTTGGACTGCTCCCCAACGAGTTCCTGCCCTGACCGCCCGACCTCCCCGGCCCTGCGGATCCGCACCGTGATCGGCACCGCCCGAGAACTCCAGTGAGGAATGTGATAAATGTGATAATAGTGATAAACGTTATATGTACTGTATGCAAGTGTAAGTTATAAGTATTGTGATTTATTAAAACCATGTTGCAAACTCTCTCTCTCTCTCTCTCTCTTCTGTATCCCGCACTTAAGTGTCAGGCTGAGGCTACAGCAGCGTAAAGCCGGCCGTTTGGTCGGGGTGGGGAGACGTGTAGGGACACGACGCGCCACGGGCCGCACAACTAGATGCTCTTACGTTGGCTCCGCGGGGCCAGTCCGGGCCGAGGCGTCAGAATTTTGCAATGACCCCATCCATCAGCTCCACACAGCAGCTCCCGTAGAGGGGAAAGGGGGGGGGGGGACTCACACCCGCCACCACCACCCCCGCGTCGACGGTTTTCCCTTGTTGTCGTCTTCTCTCCTCCGCCATCTTACTCTCTCAACACATTTTTTCCGCCACAACTTTGGGGGCGCGAGTGAACGCAACACTGTAAAAAAAAAAAAAAAAAACAAGACCTACAAGTCTATCTAAACTTTTCCTCGACGCTCGACTCTCTAGCCTCGCGCGCACACGAGTAGTACGGCACAGTCGGGCGGCAAGACAATCTGGGCAGCGTTATAACAAATGTATGCGGCGAGGAACTTGGGAGCGGGCGGGAACATAGGCGGGAGCACCGACACGTGAAACAACTGGAGGCGAGGCGTTCCAGCCTGCGTATCGCCTCCAAGTGAGCAGTCGCCGCAAAGAGTCTCACCCGCCCCCACACATAGTGCACGGCGTGTCTGCTCGTGCTGCTGAGGACATTTAAGAAGAAAATGGGGAGGGGGGGCAATCGTGAATTTAGACAAAACTTATAGAAATTAACTGGAAATTTTCAAATGGCTGACAACTGACAGAGCTTGAGGTCGTGCTACTGGTTGAGCTGGTCGTTGCCGTTGTGGCGACTGGCGACATCCGGAGGTGGCGAGAGACGTGGGCTTAAGTACCGGCGCGAGGGTTGTGGGTGG